GAGGGGGGGCGAAGGGGGGAGGAGGGGCGTCGTATTCAATCGGGTTGGGAACAAGGCGCGGGGTTATGCGAACAAGTTCCTGATACGTGAGGACGCTCGAGACATTCCTGCCGACGCGTCTCCGTTTCGCGGAATGCTTTCTCGCGCAAAGAGGCGGCATGCAAACCGCAGTTTTCACTACAAAAGAGTGTGAGTTACCGGGACGATGATTGAGACTTCTGTTCCTGCGTCCGTCCGCGGTCTCCCTCTGTGAGCAAGGGAGCGACAGGAAAAAAAAAACGGACACATGGGGGCTGAGGCGAAGGACACAGAAAAACGAACCCCCGTTTTTTTCCCGAGAGAACTCGTTCCGTGATGCAGAGGCGTGCCAAAACGAGTGTTTGTATCCTATTGTTTGCTTGCACAGTGGGCGGTGGCATTTCCCGTCATGCCCCCCCCCCCNCCTGTCTCTTATACACATCTAGATGTGTATAAGAGACAGCCCCCACCCTATCCCTATCCCTCATTCTCACCTTGAACTCCAAGCAGTAGTCCACCCTAACGTCCGTTCTCCAGGCCAACGAGAACCGGGCTCTCACTTCCATCCCTCCGCTTCCGCCGCAACCGCTGCTGCCGCCTGCACCGCCTGCGCCGCCGCCGCTCTTGCTGCTGCTAACGCTCACGGAGCGAGGCCTCCTGCCGCTGGTGCTCCCGGTTTCACCACCGAAGCTGCCGCTCCGCCACCGTTGTCGCTGGAACCTCGCGCCGCTACCGCTACCGCTGCCGCCGCCGCCGCCGCCGACGCCGCCGGTCTGGAGCCACCCCCCTTCGCTTCTCGCAGGGCTTCCAACCATGAATCCCTCAAGGATGAGCCCTCCTCCTCCGGCGGAGCTACAAACCGGCGTCCCCGGCAAAAAAAAAAGTTAGGGGGGTTAGCATTATATAGGGCCGAGGTTGTTCTTGAAAGATTAGGGGGGGAAATATATATTCTATTGTATCACACACGGTCGGTGCAGGCGACGGACATTGCTAAGGTTTTCGCTTCTTGCGCGTCTTCTTTGTTTTTCTTCACCAATCGCTCGGCATTCACCTTCCGACCGCGTAGCTCGTCTGACAACCATGTGTATATATCGCCACCCTGGCGGAACAACGCACACGTGTTCGGACCCCAAAACTAAGAGGGTGTGGCCCTAAAGCCATATTTCGTCCGCGTGTTCTTGTGTATACGGCCGCGGCCGAAACATTATCGGTTTCGGTTTTCTCTTCCTTGTCTTTGTTGATGCTATCTATGTCGTGGGCCGTGATTTTGGGGACCTCTGCCATGGACAAAATGAGAACAGCTCCCGTGGGTCGAGGCGCCCGCGCCACATAGTCGGTTCCAGGCTCCACTTGCTTCTCAAGTCCACCCGGCAATGACTGGGTGATCTTGATAAGAAGTAGAAGGCTAGATACGATCCAACTTTTTCGCTCTGACAGGCCAGGACCCGAATCTGTTATGCATCAGTGCGAGGCGAATCAACACCCTACAACACACCCACAGGGACAACATCGGCGCCCATCTCTCGCGAACGAGCCCCCCCCTGCACCCCGACAACAACAAAATCTCTGGTTCCCTTTCGCACACTACAGACCGTCCCTTCTCCTCTGCGGGGAGCGATGTTGTCTTACTCGAAAAAAGTCCGTTATTTGAAGGGTTTCAGAAAATATGAAACGTATCAGTAGCAACCCATCGCCGCACCTGCCGACGCCGCCGCTGCCAACTCCCGACGATTCCCCGCCGAACCCGGTCACCGCCGCCGCCAGCAGCGGCGAAGGCGACGGCGCAGCGTCCTTCGTGCCGCTACGCCTCCGGCTAGGCGTTCCCTGTGGTTGTTGGCTGGCGGGCCCACTAGGGGGCGCCATCGAGCCCTGCTGCTGCTGCTGCTGCCGAGCAGCCTTGGTTGCGCTTGCCGGCCGTCTAGGCCCCTTGTCCGGACAATTGCCTCCCCCTCCCCCGCCGCCGCCGCCGCCGCCGCCGCCGCCGTCCCTGACGAGGCGTATCTCAACGTCTAACAGGCGGAAGCCCTCCGAGCAACGCATCTCGAGCACCCTCGACAGGTTGGCCGGATCCAGGCTGTTGTATTGTTTTCGGTGGACGTCGTTCGGGTATGTTGTTGTATGTTGTGACAGCAGTGCGAAAGGATTTTCCGCAAAAAGACAAGACGCAGAACCGAGAAGCAGAGAGTAGAGCTTGGGCAAAACACAAATACAAACATAGGCGAAACAAAGGAACGACCGACGACATACAAAAAATCAAAGCGAAGATCAGTAGAGGTCCGTGTTTAGTGCCGGTTGAATAGTGCCGGTTGCCGGTTTAGTGACGGTAATTTCGGCTCGCACACACGGGAACACCAAGTCGTTCTGTACTTTGAATAGTGCCGGTGTCTGGTGTAGTGTCTGTGACATTTCGGCGCACACCCCGGCACCAAACAGGGACCTCTACTGGACAGCGTATGTGCTTTTGAACGATATCACGGCGGAGGTGGGAGAGCGGGATGACGATTCAGGCGGGAGCCACCATTACTTTCAGATAATCATCAAGAGCGCGCAAAAAAAAAATCCTCCATCGTGTCAGTCTTCTACCTCGTAGTTATTGAAAGGGCGACAAGAACTCTTTGAAATCTTCCATGCCATACCACCCGTCGGCAACGAAACAAATAGGAAATCCATCGCATGTACTTGTTTCAAACCACATTACTAAAAGCTAACTTACGAATCATCGTGGAAACGGGAGAGAGAGGGAGAGAGAGAGAGAGAGATAGAGAGAGAGAGAGAGAGAGAGAGAGAGAGAGAGGGAGAGAGAGAGAGAGAGAATTAGCCTGGAAACAATAGCGGTTGAATAAACACTATGGTACACATACCTGGAACAAGGCCGGGATATTGCTTTGCAACCACTCAAAAGGAACATGTGAGAAATATAGATGTGCACCGGTTAACCAGAGCGCTTAGAGAATCGGGGTATATGTTGGAGAAAATCGAGGAACAGCCGCGGCTCGAATAAAGGGGGTTAACTCTGGGCGGTAAACTTGCGAAAGCTTCTCTCGTACAGCAGTCTCAAAAAACGATGGTCGGATTTTAGCGCCAAGCCATAATGCCGTGTAACTTCCTCCCCCTAAATGCTGGGTCTTTCCCCAAAACGTCGGGCGGAGTCATGACTGGACCGTCCGAAACTCAGCCCACATTTTCCTTGCAGCCCCAGGGCATACTTGCCCCGGACACGGACCCCTCTCCCCCCACGTAACAAGCTGGCCCTGTTTCCAGCCCAAACCCGTCTTCCAACCGTGCACACCCTCGGTACCCGACGTGTGCCTGCTGCACTGTACCGTACCGTACCTCCAGTCGTGTTCCCGCAGTATGGTCATAGACCGCTTCGTCATCTCGGCCATCTCCCCGGCACTGGGCGCTGCAACAAGAAAACAAGACACACCAAAATACAACGGAAGGGTACGTGCAGGGTTTTGGAACAAGGACTTAGCAGGAATAAATAAAACAACATGATGCGCGCCCACGAGACAAGGTTGTCCTGCAGAGNGGGGGGGGGGGGGGGGGGGGGGGGGGGGGGGGGGGGGGGGGGGGGGGGGGGGGGGGGGGGGGGGGGGGGGGGGGGGACGGCGTCAGGCACAGTTGTTGTGTTGGGATCGTTGACCGCCCTTGAAGAATCGATGCCCGCGGCGGAGAGATATCGAGCATGACAACATCAGCTCAGGGCGAGCATCGTGTATTCAGCCAAGGCCACCGGAGAAGGACGGGGAGTGAACAACGGCGACGGCATCCTGTCCTATGCTTCAACAAAATCGAACGCCACAACAATTGAGCACATGAGCCCACTTGACGCATGCCTGTCTGCACTGCACACCCAAGCCCAAAAGCGCGTGCGCTTAAAAGCGCGAATTAAAGCTCTCGCGTTGTTTCTTCCCTTACTCTCTCTGTCTCTCTCTGTGTGTAGCTCTCTCTGTCTCTCTCTGTGTGTAGCTCTCTCTGTCTCTC